TCACATGAGACCGCGGCCCAACAACCTTGGCACCACGACCCCGACGTGGCCGACCACGACGAGCAACCTGTCCACAGTCAGATACTGTCCGCTCACTAGAATCCGAATCCTGAACCACGGGGATAGAAACCGGCTGCTCCTCCCTAGTAGGCAAAACCGGCGCAGGAACAGCAACAACGGGGGCAACACCCCACAGAACAGCCCGAGGCTTAGCAACAACCTGCGTAGAAACACCACTAGCAAATGGAAAAATAGCCTCATCGAATCGCACATGGCGACAGATAAAGACTTTATTAGTGACAGTATCTAGACAACGATAGCCACGGAAAGAGTCAGGATAACCCAAGAAAATACACGGAGACGAACGATACTGCAATTTATTACGATTATATGGACGCAGTAGAGGAAAACAAAGACAACCAAATACACGCAAAAAGGAGTAAGACGGAGGGGACGGATGCAGACGGTAATGAGGAGACTCATTGTCTAAAACCCAAGTAGGCATCTTATTAATTAAATAGACTGCCGTTTCAAACGCAAAATCCCAATAACGAGAGGGAACTGAAGCCTGAGCCATTAAGGCCAACCCCGTATCCACTATATGCCTATGGCGACGCTCTACCCGACCATTTTGTTCATGTGTATACGCACAGGACTGCCTGTGACGAATACCAAGAGACACAAACGTAGAGTGGAGCTTTTTGTACTCTCCCCCTAAATCAGATTGAATAGCAATTATTTTATGAGAGAATGAACGCTCAACAAGAGAGCGAAAACGCTCAAAAATAGCATAGATATCGGTCTTCGCACGCATAGGATAAAACCAAACAAAACGCGTAAAGTCATCCACAAACAAAACAAAATAACGAAAACCATTAACAGAGGTAATTGGCGCAGGGCCCCAAATATCAGTATAAACGAGTTCTAATACACGAGTACTAGAAGTAGCAACACGAGGTAATGGAAAACGGGAAGATTTCCCTAACTGACAAGACGAACAAACATTCGACAATTCACTAGAATTAAATTGACTAACACCAGAAAACTGTAAAATTTGACGCAGAACTCGTGTGTGTGGATGACCAAGCCGCTGGTGCCAAGTAGAAGATGAGACACGCGCATCAACATTAGCAGACGGACTACGACAGGAAACATGCCAAGTATATAAACCGCCTGACGCGCCCCCCTTAAAAAGCACCTCCTTGGTCAAGAGATCCTTCACAAGAAAATACTCAAAATGAAACTCAAAAAAGACACGATTATCCCTAGCAAAACGCTGAACAGAAAGTAAAGAGGACGACAGGCCAGGGACATGCAAGACATCATTTAAACGAAAAAGCTTACGAGAAGAGGCTATCGAAGCAGTACCAACACTAAGTATAGTCATACCTGTACCATTGCCAACCCATAGAGTGTCAGAACCATCATAGCCAGCAGCGGAAGTCAACACCGAGGAGTCAGGTGTAGCATGGTTCGTGGCACCCGTGTCAGGAAACCACTGATGAGAATCAATCGAGCCACCCACATCTCCGGAATAAGTCATGTGAACCTGGGGACCGGGTGACTCAGAATACCTGCGGTAGCAAGTCAACGCGGAATGCCCTTGCTTATCACAAATCTGACACCGCACATCGGACCGACCCCGGCCTCCTCGGCCTCGGCCACCACCTGAGCCACCGCGACCCGAGCCACCACCGCCCAAGCCACCACTGCCCGAGACGCCACTGCCCAAACCACCACGATTCTGGCCGCCATGCATGCGACCGCCACCACGGTCGCGACTCACGGCCATAGCTGCCGGCGATCCAACACCACCGCCGCCGGCTGCACAAATCCACTCCTGCGAAGTAAGGTAGTCCGACAGCTCGGACAACGTCACCGGAGAGCCACGCGTCAAGGGTGCAACGAGTGGACGAAGCTCCGCCGCAACCCGCGAAAAACATATATATTCTGATCATCCAGCGTGATCGGGCGGCCGGCAAGCGCCAAGTCTTCTACAAGCATCCGTGCTCGACCGAGATAGTCCGAGACAGAAGACTCCCCCTGAGTGAGGGCTTGCAACTCGCCAAGAAGCCGCAGGGCTCGAGACCTTGTCGCCGATCCGAGTTCCTGCTCGATGGCCAACCACAAGGCACGAGAAGTGGTTCGACCAACAGCCATGTGCATCATCTCATCGGACAGCGACGAAATTAAAAGAGACAAGATGGCCTTGTCTTGCCGACGCCACTCCGAACCCGAACCCGACGCTATGGCAGCGCTGCTGTCCGCCGTGGACTCCACCGGCGCTGCACCGGTCGGACAGGCGTGCGTACCATCCACATAACCAAGGAGACCCTGCCCCTCCAAGAACGGAAGCATCTGAGTCCTCCAAAATAAATAATTGTGAACGGTAAGCTTAAGCGAGACGAAGTGATGCGCCGAAGATAGACTCGGAACCGGGTGGGGATGAACGGGAGCAACCTCGGACATAGTCCGTTCAGTAGATTCGCGAACAGAACCGTCATTGTTGTCTCCCATGGAAGAAACCTGGAAACTGATACCAGATGAGGATTTGATTATTGAATATTATTGAATCTGAAAACAACTGAGTCTGTACAAGTGATAATATAGAGAGTAGATAAAGAGTCCTAACGAACAACTAATATAAGAGTCCTAATACACAACACTGTTTGGATCATAGTTCAAAAACACATAAAGTACATTATTCTAACTCATACAATACATTATTCTAAAACATAAAGTACATCTTTCTAACTCATAAAATACGTTTTTTTTACTCCAGAAATTTCAATATAAAGTACATTATACATTATTCTAACTTATAGAATACATTATTCTAACACATAAAGTATATTATTTTAACTCATAAAATACATTATCTTACCCCCAAAATTTTATTATTATAACACATATAGAGTACATTATTTTAACTCATAAAATATATTTTCTTAACCATAATAATCATTATTCTAACACGCACGCGAAGCAAAAAAAAAAATTTCTTTAACATTAAAATGACGTTGTTTTAGATCGTGATTTATACAACTGTTTGAACCACCATCGACAATAATTTGCCATGTCCTAATTGGCCAAGGTCTTTCGGCCGAAGTCCTAAAAAATGATATTACTAGATTGAAGTCCCGTTGATCTAATTTTTTTTTTTGAAAGGAAAAAAAAAAAATTTTTATTAAGTGTATACAAATTAGTCCATAAAAAAATAACCATTCCTTTCATTTTATACTGAAAGTGGAAAGAGCTATTAAGTGTATAATAATAACAACACCAATTAAGGGATTCCTCATCTTCTCCCAATTAAGGGATTCCTCGTGCAATGAATTGAAGTAAAAATAAATTTATCCATATTTTAAACGTTTGAAGAATTTCACCGAGGGAGAAATTAAAATAAATTATTTTATATATATATATAGATGAAGTTTTTTTTTTTTTTTTTTTTTTTTTTTTTTTAAATACCTACTAAAATACAAAGAACCAATAACGCCTCCATTGAGATTCGAACTCACAACTTTCTAAATGAAAGTTCAACTCAAGTACTATTAGACCACATAATCTTGGTATATATAGACGAAGTTAAATTTGTTAGGAAAGGATTAATTCAAACTGAAAACGAAATATTAAACTAAAACACAACTAAAAATTAGATGTGATCATTCAAATGAGAACACTCATGTTCGAATCCTAGTGACGGAGTTTTGATTCTTGTGCTTTAGTAGGTTGAGAAAGTATGTATGAACAGATATTACGCCGTCGTTTTGGGCAGGGCGCATAATGCATTGTGCACTCTGGAGCACGATATAAGAGTTATACTATACAATTCTTATTCTTTGAACATATACTTATTATTATTATTTCTTCTGTTATCTTTTTTCATTATTATTATTATTATTACCATACACATGCATACATATATTTTTTCTTATATTTTTCAAAGGTAATAATATGTAGAAATTATATATAGGAGTAATATAAGAAATAAATTTGATTTCATTTAAATTTACCATAATTATATTTTAGTAATTTATCATATCTAAAATTCTTAATTTAATAATATTAATTATACCATAGTTATTACTCAAATTATCAACTGTGCTTTTTACCAGGACTATGTGGTCCAATGATATCCGGATTGGACTTCCATTTGGAAGGTTGTGAGTTCGAACCTTAGTGGAGGCGTTATTAGCTCTTTGTGTTTCAGTAGGTTGAGAAAGTATATGAACAGATACTACAATGTAATAGAGCTAGTAGCATTCAAAAAAATCAACTATGCTTTTAATATAAGACAAATTGTACAATTATGAATATTAAAAATTTGCCCGCATGGGTATCTCAATTGGTTATAGAGGTGAAATTTTGAAAGAATGACCAGGGATCGAGTCTCACCAGCGGTAGTGTGGGGGGCTCTTAGGGTTGGGGTTTAACCTTTTGGAAGAATGAATATTAAAAATTTCAATACTATTATTTTAATATAATTAAGATTTTAATATTGAGTATTAATATTGGCTATATCGGGCATATAAAATATTAGTAATAATATGAGTGGTATGAGGGGCCAATCTAATTAACTTAGTTGGTGAAGCTGTTGACTTTATAATCACAAGGTTGACTTAGCTTTATTAATTTGAGTCGATTAACTATAAGTAAACTATGAGTCGATCACCAGGACTATGTGGTCTAATGGTATCCGGGTTGGACTTTCAATTGGAAGATTATGAGTTCAAGCCTCAGTGGAGGCGTTATTGGTTCTTTGTGTTTCAGTAGGTTGAGAAAGTATATGAACAGATACTAGTGTTCCAGTAGGTTGAGAAAGTATATGAACAGATACTACAGTGTAATAGAGCCAGTAACTCTAAAAAAAAAGTTAATTTATTTTTGTATAGTTCTTTACCGGCTAGGGTCACAACTTGATTTATCTATGGTTGATTGTCCTAGGTCGTCACCAAACAGAGAGAGAGTGGTCATACTCAATATATAAATACTCCCAAGCATCTCCGATCCCCAACCTAAGCTACTTCCACATTCTAACTCCATAGTAGCAGCCTTCCTTCTCCTCTTTCTTGTTGCCTAAAATGGAGAGTTTTGGAAGCAAGGATGAGCAGAAGCAGCAGCCACCATTAAAGGCCGTCAAACTCTTCTCTGCGATCCAACTGGTTTTGCGCCTCGCCATCACCGCCCTCACGTTGGCCGCTGCCTGGACCCTTCTCACTAGCAAGCAAACCGTCTCCGTTTTCGGGATCCAAATGGATGCCCGTTACAGCTATTCTCCCGCCTTCAAGTATATACATACGCGCTTTCTTTTTTATTCTTTTTCTTACATTGTACATACTGTTCTTGCGAAACACTGCTGACAGTAATTATGCCTTTCAATTCATCTTGTTTTGTTTTTGCCGGGAACAATGGTCGCAGGTTTTTGGCGGTCGCGAATATCATAGTATTCGGATTCTCTCTTCTGTCTGTGTTTGTTGTGTTCATCCTCGACAAGATGGCTGGTGACCCAAAGCACTATTTCTACATGTTCCTGCATGATTTGGTACCTTAATTAGCTTCTTCACCTCTGATCTTCTTCTCCGATTACTTTTTTCTATTACTGTATAAAGTATTTTTCAGAAATTAAAGGGTATTTAATATTATCAATTAATATTAACAACCCAACTTTTAAAAATATTTATCAGATCAGAAAGGATATTAAATATTATCAATTATTTTTAACTAGGTTTTTTGGTTCGGTTAACGAGATTTGATTAAAGTTATTTTTAATTCAATTTTTCATAATATTATTATGACCGTGTGGTCTAGTGGCACGAAGTGACTCTCCTACATAAAAAGATCATAGATTCGAGTGGGACAGTATTAACTCTTTGTGCTTGAGATCAGAAAGTAATTATGAACAATTTAATATTAGTATATAAAATTTATATATTAAAAATTACATTAAAAAAATAATTTGACCAATGAATAGTAAAAGTACTATCAAACACAGACAAATGAAATAATTTTGTGTTTTTTAATTTGAAAATTTAAGAAAATTCTTCAGACTAAATTTTAAGCCAGGGAATGATCGAAACCTCAAATGGTTAGGTCAGTAGAGTAGGCTTAGGTTCTTAGCTTAGCTAGACAAGAAGTTATGGTGGAACAATTTTACTACCCTAATTTTGACGAAAAATGCCAATATAGAATACAAAATAATATCTTTATTTATATTATTATACGTGACTTATAAGAAGTGTCACTGGCTTTAATAATAGTCTACCTGTAAATTAATTAAACAGAACTACAGAAGTACACATAATGTAATTTGCACTCAGTTGAAGGTAATATACTCATTAATGTAGCGATTTTTGATTGGTAGGTGTTAATTACTCAATTAATTCCTACTACCACAACATATATTTATTGATAAAAAAAAATTTAGTACAAATACTTTTGTCAATATTATAATAATGAGTTAATACCTGATTTGGTCCTTCGACTATACGGATTTTATCACTTTAGTTATCGACTTTTAGACTTGCTCAATATCATTCCCAACTATGTAATTTTCATCTAAAATAGTCCTTTGTCCAAACCAAAATAATTCTGATTAGGATCATTTGGTTAACAATTGCATAGTTGAAGATTAAATTGAACAAGTTTGAAAGTCGAAGACCAAAGTGGTGAAACCCTAATAATCGAGGAATTAAATAGCGTACTAATACATATTATAATTATATGTTTCTTCATTTCATTTTGCAATTTTTTTTTAGGCAAAAACTTGTGTGAGATCATCTCACGGGTCTCAATCCGTGAGACGGATCGGATCTTTGATAATGATGTCAAAGATCCGATCCGTCTCACGAATTTCGGTCACACAAGTGCTACCTTGTGATTATATTTTCTTGTCGTAACAATTAATAAATAAAGTCAATTTGGGAAGAATTATTCCAAATATATCCATGGCCTTTTGAAGGATTTAGTATTTTATGAAATTTTTTTCTTAAAGGGAAGAGATGTTGGTGGGTGGTTAGTAGGTCACAATAAATACTACTATACGACACTCAATTGTGAACATTGATTGACATTATGATACCAAAGTACCAATCCTATAAACAATTGATTCTTTGTAGTTTGCTATATTTCCAACATTGAAGGAGTTAACAACATATATATATATATATATATATATATATATATATATATATATATATATATATATATATATATATATATATATATATATATATATATATATATATATATAATCGCACTCAGGTGCGAGTGCTTCGCCCAGGCGCGAAATAGGAATGAATTCTGTTCGTCCACGTGTCCAGATCTAATGGATGAGAAACACTAATTTTTTAAAAAAACGCGGTGGCATTTTCGTAAATAATTGAACATCGAAGTGCAAGTAAAATGTATTACAAGTGCATGTAAAATGTATTATAGGTGCAAGTAAAAATTTACACTGAGTATCAATACTTAGTTGCACCTATAGTTCTAAGTAGTTGCACCTATAGTTCTAAGTAGTTGCACACATAGTTATAAGTAGTTGCACCTAGGTGTATGAATGTTTGCGAGTGGTTTTCAGGGGTATTACTACCCGCTGAACTCAGATCAATGAATGTTAACAAGGCAAAATTACATGCACTTATAGGTGAAAGTAGGTGCACCTATAGTTATAAGTAGTTGCACCTATAGTTATAAATAGTTTCACATATAGTTATAAGCACACCCAGGTGCATGAATGTTTGCGGAAAGTGAATGCTAACAAGGCAAAATTACATGCACTTATAGGTGAAAGTAGGTGCACCTATAGTTATAAGTAGTTGCACCTATAGTTATAAATAGTTGCACATATAAGCACACCCAGGTGCATGAATGTTTGCGGAAAGTGAATGCTAACAAGGCAAAATTACATGCACTTATAGGTGAAAGTAGGTGCACTTGTAAGTGATTTTACTTGCACTTCGATGTTCAATTAGTTACAAAAATGCCACCATATTTTTTTTTAAAGTTATTAGATCTGGACACGTGTCGCGCGCTGATTCGTTCTCTTTTCCCTCCTGAGCACTTATTCGCACCTGATTGCATCCCTTTATATATATATATATATATATATATATATATATATATATATATATATATATATATATATATATATATATATATATATATATATATATATATATATAAATAATATGATCCTATTGATATTTCATTTAATTTATAATTTTTGCGATGATATATACAGATGTTTCCAAATTGATATGATAGATCTCACTATGTACATAATATAAGGGTCCGAATCGTATTAATCACTTGCACTCACCTACACACAACACAACCTTGCACCCTTGCTTGAGCAGCCTGTTGTGGACTTGTGGTAATTGTTGATTGGTGAATTCCAATTAACATTATTCCCCACCAACCTACAAGTACAACAAGTATATATATATATATATATATATATATATATATATATATATATATATATATTTGAAAGACTGAGTTTGGGGGAATATCCAGAAGTACCCAGGGCCGAATTCCGCAAGGGTTGAGATGCCCAGGTTAGCGCAAAAACTCATATCACTTCACTATTAAGGCACATTTTGTGATTTACCTTTTCTTACAAGTTATTAAAGTAAAGATGGGGTCTTTAGGTTTGTGGTTCAAACTTTTATATATATATATATATATATATATTAGAGGGTTAGGTAGGGTAGTATGTAGATTTTGTATGAATCATACCAATTTGTACATACATACTCAAGTAATTATGGTCATATAATATAGAGAAAATGGTCAAAAATACGTTAATGACCTGCCATAGCAGGTCACTAGGGTTCCAGCAACCTTCCGGCATCATTTCTGATTAAAAAGCGACCTGTGAACGATCGCCAATTTTCATTGAAGAAGGCGACCCACTGGAGAGGCGACCATTGGTCACCAGCCACTTTTTAATTGAAGATGGCGTTAGAGTTCCGTCAACTCTAGGCACATGCTATGACATGTTCCTAACTGATTTTTTGGTTTTATTGTATCAAAATAAAATGTTGATGAGTTTAATTGCTACCTTAAAAAGTTTAAGAGTCTAATTAACTTTTCAAATAAAGTTTTTATGCTTATTTGACCCTTTTCCCTATAATATATAATGGAACTAACAACGTGACACATTTGATTAGAACAGATTGTGATGGCCTTGCTTCTTTCTGGATGTGCATCCGCAACAGCCATAGGATATGTTGGGAAGTTTGGAGAATCACACTCTGGTTGGATGCCTGTATGCGACAACGTTAGCAAGTTCTGCCACAAAGTTACAGTTGGTATAACGTTGTCATATATTGCCGTCATCTTCTACCTCATCCTCACCGTCCTTTCTGCAAACCAATCCAGAAAATCCATGTTTCAGAACTAGGCTGGCCGGCCGGGGAATTAAACACAAGCTAGGGATTGGAGAAACAAATGAAAGTGTTACATTGTTACTATGCTAGTTTATTTATTATCTTGAATCTCTCTCAGCTCCTTCTATATATATATGGTATATGTATACAACAGTATGTACTAAATATGTTGTGTGAAAGGCAGTAGTAAATTTTATTTGGTGGAATCATTTATGGCAAGCTGTAACAACCATTAGCTGTGGAATTGAAATCATGCAGACATAGTAATAAATGTTTGCTGTTTCCCCGTACTGTTTACAGCCTTTTGTGTTCCGATCCGTAGGTATGAAACCACTAAATAACATAACAACTGTAATATATTTGTTGTGCCGACTAGATATATATATATGATCGCGGTCAACTGCGAACTGCCTGTCCAGGAGAGAACTAAGAGCCATCCAGCGCGCCACGTGTTAAGATCTAGGTGCACTTATAATTATAAGCTAGTGCATGAATGTTTGCGGTTGGTTTCACGGGTACTAACTACCAGCTGTATGTGTGGGGGATCATGTGGGAATGACTCTCCTTGTAAAAAATGCGCACAAATCTCAGCCATTAAATTCTTCCAGATCTTATGCTCTTTAAAAAAAAATCTCCTTTCGAATTAATAAAACTTATGCACTTGAAAGCTCAAAACCATGCACTTGAAGATACAAAAATGTACACTTGAAGACAAAAGTTCTGCACTCGAAGGTAAATAGATGTGCAATTAATGCAATTTATAGTATCAAAAAGGGAAGTTATTCAACTTAAGTGTTATTAAAGTAATTACACATGCAAATCGTTTGTAAATCTCACAAATTTCATTAGAAATTTAGTTATATATATATATTATTGAAAAGAATGCAAAAGATTTAACAAATACTAACCTAGAATTGTGCACTTGAAGGCAAAAAAAATACACTTGAAGGCTACAAAGCGTGCACTTGAAGGCTAAAAACATGCACTAGAAGGAAAAAAAAGGTTCACTGGAATGCTAAGTATTTTTTTTATACAATAGTAAGACACATACTCTTGTAAGCATGAATGAAATTGAGCAGTTGAAGGCATAAAGATGATCACTAGAAGGCAAGGAGAAAAAAAATGACACTAAAAGGGAAAATCGAAGGAAATTAATTGTGCACCATGCACTTGGAGGTTACAAAACGTGCACTTGAAGGCTAAAAACGTACACTAGAAGGAAAAAATGTATTCAATGGAATGCTAAGTATAATTTTTTTTTTTTTTTTACACAATAGTAAGACACACATGCACTTGTAGGCATAAAATTGAGCACTTAAAGGCTTAAAGAGGATCACTAGAAGGCAAGGAGAAAAAGACACTAACAGAGAAAATTCAAAGAAAATTAATTGTGCACTCTTAGAAAGGAAAACATGTACGTGACGGCTACAAAACATGTACTTGAAGGCCAAATTTTTGCAATCAAACGAGAAACTATGTACTGAAACAAAATAGATGCACTTGAAGAAGAGAAATATACACTCGAAGAAGGAAACATGTGCACTCGAAGAAAAAAATGTGCATTCAGATACAAAAGACAATCTGACTTACTCAAAATTACAATAATGCCACCGCACGTTTTCTAATTAATCTTCAATCTGGGCTGTTGATTTGAACTATATCTATGGTTGAGATTTATTCTCTTATTTTTTTTTTTAATCTAAACACTTCCTTCGCATGGATCCAAATTTTATTATATATATATATATATATATATATATATATATATATATATATAGGGTTGAGTTCACATTAGGACTAAAATATATAGAGGACTGTGCGGACCAATATTGGGGCACACAACTTAATACACAATGACACACAAGAATACATGTATACATCAGGTTTCGAACCTAGGCTCTATTAATTAACAAATCTATGCACGCGACATACAAACTGTGGCACACGACTACATCAGGCCCTGCACACGACATATAGAGTATTGGTACACGTCATATTAGTCCGCACAATCCTCTATAATATACCGGTCCTCATTTCAACTCAATTATATATATGCATGTATGTATATATATATATATATATATATATATATATATATATATATATATATATATATATATATATATATATATATATAGTAAAAGACATTTTTGGTCCTAGACTTATAATGACACAGATAATTTTCGTCCTCCATAAAAAAATCAGACAATTTATGGACACACTTATTATGACGAGGACAATTTTGGTCCTCTGTCTGTATTCTTGTTAGATTGCGGTTTGAGAGGGGAATATTTATGTCATTTCATTATATCTCCTTCTCTTTATTCCATCCTGAATATTTTGTTCTTGATTTCCGGCAACACCCATTACTCCATCGCCAACTCCTCCTTCCATAGCCACTTCAACCACCGTCTTCGGCTTCACCTATACCCAAACAAGTAACAATTATTCTGGGGATTATTAGTCCATCAAGAACTCAACGTCAGCTTCGAATCTCCTCTCCTTTTGCTAGTAACCACTTGCCGCAGCCTCACTAAAAAAACTGCGATTGATATTGAGGTTTTTTTTTTCTCCTAATTTACAGATTTTTATTCTTAAACTAACCCAAATCGAACCGAACCGATTTGGGCTCCACTTCTATACTATTGCTGAAATTTATAGGCTTCTCAGAGTTGGATCTTCTTTAGATCGAAAAGAAATTTTGGGTTAATGGCGAATTGGGTTCTGATAAGTCATATCGCTAGTACTTGCCCCTGTGCTGTGGCTTGTCGTAATCGTGCTCGGTGGGTGGCGGAAC